GGAGGAAGGCAGAATCTCCACTGAGTAGTATCCAATCTGTCTGGGCGGGGCTAATTAAAGGAGATGGGGATAGGTCCCTTGTGGTACAATGGTAAGTAATTGTTATCAGGACTGACTGTGAGGGTTGGAAATGTAACGGTGGATTTTTTTTTTTTTTAGCTAAAGGAAGGAAGTGACTGACTTTGCAGTACAGGATTGGAGGTCCCTGGAACCATCAAGGGAGAAGAGCAGAGTGCGGGACCCTACCCAGAGAAACAGTGATGCCAGAGATGGAGGCAGAGATGATGATGTGGAGAGGAGCGACCGGGGACTCTAAACCCAGAGAGGGAAGGGGCTGTGTGCTGACAACTGGGGGCAGGCTTGCAGGGTATATCCTTTGGTTGGGTGATGATGCATAGAGGGGATTGTAACCATGGCAATGAATCGATGTATATGATAGGATGAATGTAAAGCTAATGTTCTCCCATGTAAACTACCACATAATTCACAATAAACATTAAAAAAAGAGATAATGGAATTTTCCCACAAATTTTCTGAAGCAACCCCCATATGTAACTGGAGTTTCAAGAAGAAAGAGGAGAGAGAGAAAAAAAAAATAATATAGAAATATTTGAATAATTCCTCAAAATTTTCCAAAGGTATCAAATTCAAACCTTTAGGTTTAATTTGAAATTACAATTTGTAAATTGAAAATTCTGGAAGTAGAATAAATAAATATATACATATATATATATATCCTGTGAAATGATATTATCCTCCTAAAAATGAAGAAAATAAAGATGTTTTCACATAAATAATAACTGAGGAACTATATCAACACTGGCAGTGGTGGTGGTTGTGTGCTGTCAAGATGATTCCAACTCATAGTGACGCTGTACAGGATTTCTGAGGCTGTTAAGTCTTACAGAAAAAATAAGCATCTTTCTTCCACGTATCAAATCAATACTTTGTTGTTGTGGTTAAGTGCTGTCGAGTTCATTCTGACTCACAGCAACCCTGTATAAGGTTTCTGAAAAATGGCTCATGAGTTTGAACTGCCAACTTTGTGGTTTAAACTGACCTTGTGGTCCAGTGTCTTATCCTACATCACCATATCAGACTCCATATCAATATTGTTATTGTTAAGTGCTGTCGAATTGGTTTCAACTCATAGCGACCCTGCATAGGGATTCCGAACTTGCGGTTCACAGCCCAATTCGTAACTATTACACTACCAGAGCTCACCTCAAAATTGATGATACTCAACTATAATTCACACACCACAGCACTTTGCATCATCAAGAATACTGTAATAAAATCTCTTTATAGCTTTAAAAAAACTAAGAATGAGGATGAAATTATAACATCCCCAGACAACAGAAGTGGACAGTTCATAACCACCAGACTGGCCCTGCAAAAACCACTTATAAGATTTCTGTAAATCAAAGTAGAAAGACACTAAAAAATAATTCAAAGCTATATATATTTTACAAAAATCCCTAAAAAAGGGAAATGCATGGACAAGTATAAAGGCTAATAATATATTTATACTTTGTAATTCTAAATGTTTTGTCCTTCTTGTTCTTTTTTAATCACAAACATATACAAATAAGAATAATATTACAAGGCAAAAGAAATACAAAGACATAATTAGTTATTCTGTTGTCCTTAAATGCACTTGAGTTGGTTCCACAGCACAGCGACCATATATAGGGTTTCCAAGGAGCAGCTGGTGGGTTTGAACTTCCGACCTTGTGAGTAACAGTCCAGTGCTTATCCTACAGTGCCACACCAGGATTTTAAAAGATGGGAGACAAATAGTTCAGATACAGGATTTCTTACAGGTTACTGAAGTTAAGTGGTGCCAAGTTAACAAATCTAATATTCACGGTAACCAATAAGAAAATGTATAAAAAGGAAATGGAACCTAATAGGTTTGTTATAGTAAGATAACAAAAAACAACAGCAGCAGTAGTAAAGGACAAAGACAAAGAAGACTTAAGATAAACAGTAAATAAAGTGACAGAAGTTAAGTCACTCCATTATCAGTAATTACACTCAATATAAATGGACTAAATATTCTAATCAAAAGGCAATGAAACGGTGGAATAAACGAAATAAAACGTGATCCAAATATACATTGTTTAAAAAAGACAACCCAAGGACAACCAAGTTGAATGTCAAAGGATACACAAAAAAATATTCCATGTAATTAATAACCAAAAGGGAGCAGGGTGGCAATCTTAATATCAGATAAATAGACTCTGAAACAAAATCTTTGAGAAGATGAGCATTATAAAGTGATAAAAGGGTTAATTAATAAACAAGATTTAACAACCGTAAATATATAAGGGGGTCTTCAAAAAGTGCATGGAAAATGTATTTTATGGAAAAACAATGTAATAATTTCCAAATCTTTACACCAACATAAACTTGTACTAAATTGTTATAACCTGTCTGAACAGGATTTATTTGAGACTCAAAGAAGGTAAGACATTAATGTGAGATGAGACCCTATCAGAGCAACATGAATTCTACTAAGATTAAAGCAAGAACAAACATTAAAATTTATAGTAAAGCTTAGGTGGAAGAATGGTGTAATCACTGATGCTTATACAAAAAGTTTATGAGGGACAATGGCCCAAAGTAATCAGCAATTTACAAATGGGTAGTTTTAAATAGGAAAGAGATGATATTGAAGATGAAACCTGTATTAGCATACCATTCACATCAATTTGCCAGGGAAAAAAAAATCTTATTTTTGCCCTAATTGTAGAAGACTGATGATTAATAGCAGAAATAATAGCCCACATCATAAGACATCACAATTGACTCAGCTTATAGAATTCTAAAAAATTAAAGTTCATGAAATAAAGACTAGCAGGAAAAATCAAAAACAATAACAGCAGTCCAATTGATTACTACAAGAATAAGCAAGTTGTTCGACAGGGAGCCATCCAAGGCAAGCAGTCAGGTCCCCTCTGGACAACCCCCTTCCAAGATTGAGATTCAACAGGATTACATGAGCAGGCATGTGGTCTTGCTGCTGAGCATGTTGGTCACCGATAAGTTTAAGTGGGGGGAAAACAGCAATGAAGTTGTTAGCTAAATCCGACCACATTCAACAGACTTCTGTCCACCTGGATTGACACCTCATTGGCCAGCAGTATGGCAACATCTGGGGACTCCTGGACCCAGGGACAGGGTCATGGCCTCAGAGGACTAGCGCTGAGAGTGAAACATTGAGCTTATATGAAGTGAGGCGAGATGCACAAGAACACCCATACTTGCAGACAGCACCCATTTGACCTGGCTTCATTGGCTAGATGATCAGAACTTGACTAGAAGAAGAAGAGGAAAAAGAGTAATCCACTACAATTGGATGAACTTCACCTATACTTATGTATGTAGTAGCTCAAAAGAGGAAATAAATCTTTACAGCAAGGATCATTCCCACCCCCTCGGTACACAGAGTTGACAGGGAAGGGCTACTTAGACACTGGCTACCCAAAATGGGGAAGGGGAGCTACAAAGGCACAAAGTGACTGGCTTACAAGCTTTCAAGAGGAAGACTAGTTTCAGAGGGTACAGGGGAAGGTAGAATCTCCAATGAGCCGTTTCCAATCTTCCTGTATGCAGGTGGTGAAAAGAAATGGGGATAAGACTCTTGTGGTTCAATATTGAATAATTGCTCTCAGGACTGACTGTGAGTACTGCAAATGTAAAGGTAGACATTTTGTAACAAAAGGCACAAATATTGCTAGGGGCATGAAAGATAGTGAACATTATAACACACTACTGAAAAAAATTAAAGATGATTTAAATAAATGGAAATATGGCCCATATCATGGACTGGAAGACTTAACCTGATTTAAAAATATACCATACAGTTATAGCAAACAAAATAACCTGATACTGGTATAATAACAGATACAGAAGCCAGTAAGATAGAATTGAGAATACAGAAATAAACCCACACCATCTATACTCAACTGATTTTTGACAAGAGTGCTAAATCCAACAGATGGAGAAAAATTAGTCTCTTCAGTAAATGATGTTGGGAAAGCTGAATTTCCACATATAAAAAATAAAACAGGATCTATCTGATGGTATAGTGGGTTATGTGTTAGGCTGCTAAAAGCAATCTGAATCCACCAACTTCTCCTTGGGAAAAAGATGAGACTTACTATTCCGTAAAGATTTACAGCTTCAGAAACCCTATACAGAGTTGCTGTGAGATGGAACCAACTTACTGGCACACAAACA